GTCTGCTAGTGAGTGGGCTTGCTTGTGTGTGTGTGTGTGTGCCTGCTACTGAGTGAGCTTGTGTTTTTATGTCAATAACCTTATGTCAGTGCCTCATAGACAAACAATCACTTGTGTCAGTGAGATTGTCTGTGTCTGCATGTGAGTATGCTTACTGTATAATTAAACTAAAATTAAAATTTTACTCTGAAAGGACCGATATTTTATATTGGAAAAAGCTATATATATATCTCTATCACTCATCTAGGGTGGCAAGACATAGCCTTGCATATTACATGCGACAATATATGGCGCAATGACTTATGGGGCTGGCATAGATTTTTTTTTCCAGGGCTGCTTTGGAATCCCCAGTCCGGCCCTGATTGGGGTCATATGCCACTTCATTGTAGATAATTTTAAGTTTTGGCATTATGGTTGGAATTTGATTCCCTAGCCAATCATTGCTGGTATTCTCATCAGTGTGGGAGCCTGGATTTAAAACAGTTTATACATTAGCAGTAGCTAGAAACCTTTTAAATAACTTTGAAATAACTGATGGCTTTGACTTAAAAGACTTCGTAGTCATTAATAAATGTAAAGAGATGATAACACATTAACTCACTAAACCTTCGGAATCTACTGTACAAGCAAAATAAGCATGGGAAAGCTATGGGGGTGTACGAACCGACCGCAGCTAACACAAATAAACATTCTACTTTATTACATTCAGCTCTAGGTAATACTCTATTAATCAAAGAGCGAGCTTGTAGTAAATTTCATAACTGTCACAAATTTGTTCATTAGCAAGTTGACTGACCTAGGCACAATATTTAAAGTGCCCCATTTATGTTCATTATTTATTACATTGGCGTGATGTTTTCACTTTATTGATTTATCACATACAAAACACAAATAAAAAAATTAATATCCTGAGCTGTCCTTATTGTGCCTTTTCTTCGCGATTATTTTTTTCGCTTGTGGCTTTCACTGGTTAGTACACTAATTACTATGTAGTTCGTTCATTAACGTTGTTCTGTGAAGAACTGAGAAGAGACACAGGGTCACTAAATTAGAATTCAGATGAATTTAAATTGAATTTCAAATTCAAACTTCCATATCAGCTACTTTGACCTTAAAGGGACATTATAGTGAGCAAAACAACTTTAGCTAACTGAAGCAGTGTTGGTGTATACATCATGCCTCTGGAGTCCCACTGCTCAATTATCTGCCATTTACGAGTTTAATCGCTTTTTTTTTCTGTTTATGCAGCCGTAGCCACACCTCCCTGGCTGTGACTGACACAGCCTGCATGAAAAAATTGTTTAATTTTCAGGTGTTACTTACTTGCTGCCAATCTGACAAACTCCTCCATGGAGCACCTTTTGAATATATTAATAATTGATGTGTGTCGCCTCTTTTGGTTTATTCTAAAAAAACAAGAAATATTCCATTGAAAATCCCCAGCAAGCTTGCTCCATGTAGAATTATTATTGTTTTCACTGTAAGCTTGTCTTGTGGTTGAACTACATCAATGCGATTTATAAGATCATCTCCCTTGTAGAATTTTATAGACATTTAGAATATTCATAACTGGGATTGGCAGCCAAGAGAGCAGCAGTACCATAAATAGCCACTAGGGGCATTGTCATGCATTTACTTGTCTAAATGCTTTCTTCGACATCCACCATCTGTACGAGCATTTAAACACATTGCAGAAAGGAATGTTTGTTTATTTTATCAAATTAACAAAGAGGTGAGCAAACAGTATTGGGAGTAAACTAACAATTTACAAATTGTAAACCACACCAAAGCACTTAATATCAAGTGGGTGTATTTAAAGGGACACTCCGGGGAATGTTTTTAATCTTTTTTTTTTTTTTACCTTCAAGTTGTGTCATAAGAAGGCAGTTTCCAACTGCCTCGTAATTAATGGATGATGGGGAAGACATCCAGAAGAATAAATGGTATTTTGTTATCACACTACATGCAATCTGGTTTTAACATTGTTTCTTTAAAATATATATATATTTTTAACGTTATTTGACTTTTTATTCCAACGCGGTGAAATACTTATTAACAGCTGGCATGACTACGAAAAAAAAACCTGTTAAAATGTTGTTGTTTTTTCTGGGTTAGTACTGTCAGCTGATCTGTCCACAGTTGATACATTTATACCGTCTGGTTATGGTTTTTCAAGCTACCCCCGAGGACAGAAAGGATTCATCTGTTTTTTTTTCCCATAAGGCAGCACAATAAGCTTGGTTTCTTGAAGATGATTGGATAATTATGACACTCTGTATCTTGTCCCAGTATTGAACTCACCATACTGCCTGTATCATATTCTCAATGTGAGAACTGTTTTGTTTCATTGTATTATTTTTTTTTTTAAATTCCCTTTTTTTTGTCTCATAAAAGTGTCTCCATGCTCCGAAGTAGTCATATGAAAGTCATTTTGCAATTTGGGGGAAGAAAGGCCTTTTTCTCTTGTGTGTGTGATATCATATTTTTCAATCCGAGTGGTGTTGGGGGAGGCTGGGAGCTTGACGTGGGTGGAGGCCTTGTTTACACAGAAGCAGACAGACCCGGTCTATGAGTTCTTTGTGACAAATCTTGGGGTGACCCTGAGATACAGAGGATAATTGACATGCTGGCATTAGTGTAATGCTGGACTGTGAAGTCTGTGTTTCTGTGCCTTAATCAGATGGATGTGAGCTGAATTAGCCTCGATCCATTGCCAAGTCTGGCTTCTAAATGGCTTACTTACTATGCAGGCAGGTGGCTGTAATACAGGGATAAACAGGCCATGACATTCTCATTCTGTAATCGGCAGACACATATAGACTGCACTTGTCTAACGTGATATATTCTTATAATTCGCTATATTACATTGTTCCATATGTGACAGTGATTGATGACGTTTTACAGACTAGCTTTGTACAATTCCTAAGATGTTCAGACAGAATAACTTTCACATAGAAGATAACTTTACCAATCTGGCTCAATATAATATATAATTAATATGTATAAATATATATTATTAACAGCTAGTTCATGTTTTTAAATCTTGTATTATTATTATTAATATTATTTATAAAGCGCCAACAAGTTCCATAGCACTGTACAATGGGTGGACTAATAGACATGTATTTGTAACCAGACATGTATGTACGTAGTGGGCATTGGATAGCATTCCCCTCATCCCCCAATAAAAACCATAACTTACCCCTTCAAATAACGACAGACAACTTCTTGGGAAAACAGGCCACAGCATTTATTAACATCACCAAATACTGTATAACTCCTTAAACATATAACATAATAAATTAACATAAACACTTTTTATACAGTCATACAGTAATCATGAAAACCGTCCTTGCCAATCTAACTTCCCCAAGGCTCTCACCTCCCCACCTCGGCATAATAAAACCTCTTCCTTTTCAAGGCTCCCCACCAGCCGGTTTTCCGCTCGGTGGGGCCCAACCATAATGCTCCCCACCGGTCGACTTACAACCCAGTGGGGACACATCCAACCTGGTACCTCCTCCAGGTTCACCATAAGAGACAGGGGGAGGATGAGACCAGGCCATTATCCCCCTTTTCATCTAATCTACCATCCCTTATTTGGCAAGGACATGCCCCGCCTCGCTGTGACAACCACCCGGACCCAAAGCAGCAAAGGGAGGGTGGGCGGGAAACTTGTTGCTGGCCCGGCTCCTAAGTGGCACTGAAGTCAGTCTGCTTTGTCACCACCTACTTCCTCACATCTCACATTCCCACACGTAGCACATAGCCAATCATGCACCATCCATCCCACACTCATACATGTAGAATATAGACAACCATGCATCATCCATCCCACACTCATACATGTGCCCCTGTCCGCTAAGCTGCGCACTCTCCCTGGGGCCTGGTTGGACACACAGTAACAGAGGGATTGAGGGCCTGCTCAGTGAGTTTACATGCTAGAGAGAGTGGGGTATAGTCAGGGCCGATGCAAGGATTTTTGCCGCCCTAGGCAAAAGAAAGATTTGCCGCTCCCCGAACATCGCCCCACCCATATGTGAACTAATGCCAGGTGCTGCACACAGTGTGTGTTTACATTAAAGCTCGTAGGGACAAACTATAGACACCAGAACAACTTTATTAAGCTGCAGTGGTTCTGGGGACTATAGTGTCCATTTAATGTGAGGTAAATTACATTAGTGTCACTAATAATATACTACTGCCTACTTACAATCAGATGAGGATGGTGATGGCTCTGGCTGCAGTCTATTCAATTGGTCTGGTGTAGAACAGGATCTCTGAGGCTGTTTGCAACTGTGGTCACAAAATTCAAGAAGTGGTAGAGGACAGTAAAGGAGTTTAAGTATGCGCGGATAGGCATAGCTATCCTAACTATAAGATAAGACTAGGGACTAATGAAAGTATTTAGAAAATTGGGCAGACTAGATGGGCTGAATGGTTCTTATCTGCCGTCACATTCTATGTTTCTATGTTTCTATGTTCTGGGAGAACGGGAAGCAGCTCCATTTTTGGGGGCCTCTTACATAGCTCAAGGTCTGGGCCCCAGGGCCTGACGGTGAGTATGCCCATAAAGCCCACCCATAAGGCCACCTACATGTTCCACCCATGAACTCACAGGGAGTAGAGTTTGTAGGGGATGTGTTATGTGTTACTGTAGAGGATCTAATGTGTGTGCTTACGGAATGTAGTGTATAGGGATACCAGTTTGTGTAGGTGATG